GAAGAGTCAGATTTGGGTAAGCTTTCTTATCTTCATTGCATCATAAATGAGACCATGAGGATGTACCCAGCGGGTCCATTGCTACTACCACATGAATCATCACAAGAATGCTTTGTTGGGGGTTACCGAATTCCACGTGGCACAATGTTGTTGGTGAACCTGTGGGCCATACAGAACGATCCCAAGATATGGGGGGAGCCTGAAAAATTTAGGCCGGAGAGGTTCCAAGGATTGGAAGTAAACAGAGATGGGTTCAAGTTGATGCCATTTGGGTCGGGGCGGAGGGGCTGTCCAGGAGAGGGATTGGCTACGCGGGTGGTTGGATTGACGCTGGCTTCAGTTATTCAAGCCTTTGAGTGGGAAAGGATTGGTGAGGCAATGGTGGACATGACTGAGGGGACTGGGCTTACCATGCCCAAGGCCAAGGCTTTGCAGGCCCGGTGTCTTCCACGTCAAGCCATGGTGGACTTGCTTTCGAAAATTTAACGAAGCCAATTGTTCTTGTGTTTCTTTACCCTTTTTCTCTTCAACAAACGTTTACTTCTCCTCCTCTTTCCTTCTTTCTTTCCCCCCTTCTTTCCTCCCCCTCCTCCTTTCTTTTTCCGCTGTCTTCGCAGCCATCTATCTTTGCCTCTTTCCCGCTTCTGTGACATGTGATGTTGAGAATGATGTACTCCTATTTTTATATTTTCATTTATGCTTATTAACGAAAAAATTATTGGGCTGCATCAAATTATACAATAAAAACTTTTAAATAAAAAGTAAGTCTCTTAATATTAAGGCCTTTTCTTCTATTTAAAATTTTTTATTTTACAAATCTAATTACAAAATAGTAAACTCTAAAAATTAAAAAGAATAGTAAAGTATGATATATACAAATTAAATATTAAATGAAGAGTGAATTTCTTAATATTGATGGTTGTCTCTCATCTTATAATATTTGTTTTATAATTTGATATAACTTAAATTATAAAATAAGATTATGTTATGCTTAAATGTGTTGTATTTATATTATGGCTCTACATCTTTATTGGTATGATAGACTTTTCTTCATTCGTGTAGATACCATATAACCAATTGTTGATGAATAACAATTAACTTTGAGTTAGTTTTTTTTTTTTTTTTTTAACAAGGAGAATCTTGGGAAAAGAAGAAAAATACTGCAATTATTTCAATAAAAGCTCAAATCTTGATATAAGTCAACATATTTGATATACATTACTACTCGTTTGGAGTTGCTGGTGCCAATTAACTTTTAGTATAAGAAAAGGTTGTTCCAAGCAACATAGCCATTTATTTTATTGATATTTTGCAAGCCATTTGTCTCCATAAATTA